GCCCAGGGTCCTACTACCTTGCATAGCCTTGGGACACTGCTCTCTGCATTCAGGCCACTCAGCTCCAGCTTTGGTTTAAAGGGCCCCAGATACAGTTCAGGATTCAGCTCCAGAGGGCACAGTCATAGCCTTGGCAGCTTCCACATGGTTTTAAACCTGCAGGTGCTCAGAATGCAGGAGACAAGGAGGCTTGGCAGCTTCTCCCTAGATTTCAGAAGATTTATAAGAAAACCTGGGTGCAAAAGCAAAAGCCTACTATATGGTCAAGCACTTGCAGAGAGCCTCTACTAGGAAAATGCAGAGGCGAAATGTGAGCTTGGAGCCCCAATGCAAAGTTCCTATCAGGGTATTGCCTAATGAAGCTGTGAGATGGGACCACTGCTTTCTAGCCCCAGGAGTGGTACAGCTACCTGCAACTTGCAACCTCAGCAGGGAAGACTTGCAGTCACTCAACTCCAACCTTAGAGAGCAGCAATGGGGACTGCACACTACATAGCCACAGGGGTGGAGCTGCCCTGCCCAAGGTATTGGAAGCCCACCCCTTGCAGCAACATGCCTTGGATGTGGGACATGGTGGCGACAGAGATTATTTTGGGGCTTTAAGGTTTAATGTCTGCCTTTTCAGGTTTCGTGTGAGGTCTATTATCCCTTTCTTTTGGCCAATTTCTACCTTTTGGGATGAGAATGTCAATCAAATGCCTGTTACCACCATTGTATCTTGGAAGTAAATAACTTGTTTTTCATTTTACAGGCTAAGAAATTTGCCTTGAGTCTCCAATGATGAGACTCTAGACTTAGGACTTTGGGACTTTTAAGTTGACACTTGGAATGAGTTAAGACTTTGGGAACTGTTGGGAAGGGATCATTGTATTTTGTAATGTGAGGAGAACATGAGATTTGGACAGCCAGGGGCAGAATGCTATGCTTTGGATATTTGTCCCTTCCAAATCTCATGTTGAAATGTAACCCCAATGTTGGCAGTGGGCCTAATGGGAGGTGATTGGATTATGCAGCTATATCCCTTATGGATGGCTTGGTGCTATTCTCATGATAATGAGCAAGCTCTTGCTCAGCAAGTGTACATGAGATCGGGTTGTGCAAAACTATGTGGCACCTCCCCACCCCATTCCCGTTCTCGCCGTGTGACGCTCCTGCTCTCCTTTCCCTTTGTGCCATGACTGTAGCTTCCTGAGGCCTCACCAGAAAGTGAATTAGATGATAGTGCCATGCTTACTGCAGAACAGGAAACCAATTAACCCCCCTTTTTTAAAATATAAATTACCCAGCCTCTGGTATTTATTTATAGTAATGCAAGAATGACCTACCACAGTAAGTAAGTGAATTTTCTGGAGAAGAGTTCTGCATTTTCACCAGTCTCAAAAAAGTTAAAAAAAAAAAAAAAAAAAAAAAAAAAAAAAACAAGATTGGTTTTATTCACCTCATGTATCTGGGGAAAAAATTGTCTCATCCTACATTAGGATAAATATTTTGCATAATCATTATTCTATTGTCCTTTAATCCAAAGACCACCAAATTTAGTCTGTATTTCTCTCAAAGTAAAAGATGTTAATTTTTAAATGCTGCACTCAATATTATTATTAATATTTGAATAGAAATCACAATACCCACTATTTTCTCAAGTCTTAAACTTTTATTTCAAATACTCAAACATAAAATCGTTAACAGTAACCATAATATTAATGAATGGAAATATTAAAATAGAAAAGTATTGAAACTCATATTTCATTTAATTTGAAAACATTTGACATGGAAATACAGGTCCCCTGCATCAAATAAATTCATTGCATCCTGATGCCTAAACTTTCTCTGACACAGAAAAGAAACAAGGCTCTTGGAAGCCATTAAACAAAATGTAAGATTATTTGTAAGAAAATAAACTGAAGTGCAATTCTACAAAACAAAAAATATCACCAAAAATTAATTCTGAGGTACATGTATGTAGATTACTGTAGTTAAAATGAAAAAAAGTAAAATGAGTACAAAGTAACTACTCTTACTTAACGTTGTTTAACATCAAAAGAATACACCATCTGATATACAATCACTGAAGAAATATATATGTCTGCAACCAAAAACCGCCCACATCCAAATGATGGTTTATTCCTCCCAACTACCACTGGCACTTATATATCTTGCCTCCTATCTGTGTGGAATTCAAATTCTGTTTGATGTAATACAAAACCCACACTCCCAACAACGAAAATCTTTATCTTCATCTGTATCTTGCAGGAAAAAAAAATTGAGGCGAAACTAAATTCCAATTCACCTGGAAGAAAATGACATATTTTTCTCCTGCTCTTGCTTCTCAGTGTATGTTTATTAATCTCAAGCCTCCTTTTGACCTCACTCACCAATCATCAGTTTTCATCAGCCATTATCACTGATCCCTGCAATGCACCTGAGTGGCTTGGCAGAAAAACTTGTAGAATCATGTTTCACAGGGGAGAAATGCATTGCACTTCTGAAGTCCGAGTATATACTTCACACACACACACACGCACACACACACACACATACACACACACACACACACACACACACATACACAAATTGCTCCATTCAGTGTGGTGAATTTCCCTGGAGTATGTGATTACATTTGCAATAGGCATTGTTAAAAATAAAACTCTAGCATAAAACTAGGGTCTAAGATATGGCAATTTCAACAATAAAAGCAAAAAAAACCATAGGCAACATTTCTACATATTGAAATTCCTGCAGGCAGATGTTCCCCGGGTTTAGTCAAAATGTGATCTGACTAAGGGATTATTGGAAAGGTTTTGCTATAAATCATGCTCTTAGTCACATGCATTCAAAATAGTTCCTACAGTGCTAGGAAAGGAGAATTTAATACTGGAGAGTATTTACAATGCCATCAATACAGTAAAAGAGTGGGAATTGGGGAAAAAATCAACCAACCAGCACTACCATACTTCAGGGAATAGGATGATTATGTGAATTTAGCTGTTTATTAGTGCAGAGACATGATGTAAGGATTAAGCAGGATGAAGGGAAAAGGTGGCTTAGCAGCCCATTTGTTTCCAAAAAACAAAACCAAGAGTTTTCAAAAAAAAATATTAAAATATGTTTATGTTTTTGACAACTAAATTACAAACAACTTTGATATTCTGCATATAAAAAGCAAGGAAAACTGCTGCATGCTTTTAATGAAAGATACTGAGTTCAATCCCTGCAAAAGCACCAAATGCATACCATTTAGGATAATGTCATGGATACACGTTTGACAACTAAATTACCAAGCCCTTTGATATACTGTGTATGAAGAGTAGCAATTATGGCCAATAAAATCGAAGGAAGAAAAAAACGAATTCACACTAACGTATCATTATGACTCACTAGCATATAAAATTCCATGCCTGCTCTACATTATCAGCAACTGGCAAATCCCAAATTCCTAAGGATGCAGATAATAGTTTTCAAATAAGTAGAGCCACAAGAGTGTTAGGGGGCTCTTTGGAGATATTGTGTTACTTTCTTCTATCAAAAGGCCCAAAGCACTCAAATGACTTAAAAACTAGCTTACCCCTGCCCCATAAAAATGTAATGTGCTATAGTGATTAGTTGTGAATCCTAAACAAATTCTGATACTACTTATAAACATAGACAGTGATTAATTTGTGGAAAAAAGAAAGAAGGACTTTGGAGACAAAAGGACTGGGTTCAAACTCCAAGCCAAGTATTTATTACCCCTAAATAACTTTGAGCAAATCATTTAAACCCCCATCAAATGAAGATAATAACAACACCTAGTCCTCAGAGTTGTTGTAAGGAAAATGAGTGTGGAAACATTCCACGGTGGTAAAAAGCACTGTGCAAATGTTAACTCTTCCACTGTACTACATTCAGACTCCATCTAAACTTAGCAGATGGAAACATGCAAGGTTTTCCTGCTACACAATTCTGAATCCACTGAAAGTAAACTTATCGTTATAGAAAGAAAAACACATTGCAGAGGAGAGTCTCTATGAAACCTAGATTTACAAAAATTGATTCAGGTTTCATCTGGAGAAAGTCTAGCAAAATGTTTCAGTAAGACATGAAATATATTTTTAGACATCAAACTATCCTATATTTTTACAAGCCTCTGTGGCTTTAAGATTGTATGCAGAAGCATTTGGAAACTCTAAATTACTTGAAATTAAAAAGTAAAAATAAAGAATCATACTTGGCTTCTGATAGCTAAGTAAACATATATTATTGGAAGATTGAATAACTAACTGTAGCTAACAGATGTATTCTAAATTCATTACTGAAAAATCCATGACAGCAGATAACCTCCTAAACTCTGAAGATTACAATAGATACATAATTTAAACATAAAAAGACTGATTTTCTCAAAGTTGTCCTGATGTACAGTATTTCTGCATAAATGTACCAAATGGGTAAATGCATTAAGAGCACTTTGTAAAGGTTATCATGCTGTAGAAATGTGAGATATTATTAGAAAAATTTAAAAAGCTCTTTTGAATTTTATAGAACAAGCCAAGATATGTAAAATTTTTAAAATGAAGAATTATTCAAAAATGAAATAGAAAGCACTTATACCTCAATACAAAATATAATAAATCAAGGGGGAAAACATGAAAACCACAAGACCAGTTTCTTTCCTGGCCTTGCTGCCTGTTCTTTGACAACCTTGGCTTTGATTTTCACAACAGCTCTCCCCACACACATAGATCTTTGTTCATCACTGGTCCCCTGCAGTTACTCCTGTTCTGAGTTATTGAGCTTTCAGATAACTGATTTTTCCTGTTGCTTTTAGGAACTCACTAAAAGGCTCAGGCAATCAGCCCATCAGTTTCCACTCCTGACTTGAGAACATCTGTAGCCTCTCACTCCAACCTGCCACCCCTTGGGTGGTGAAGCCCCATACACAACAGTAAAGGGTACTAGGAGAAGCCCTCAATGCAACCCAGAGGGAAACTCAATTGCAAAAACCAACTCATAAGTGGTTGCCCTACTTAAAATTCCATTGAATCTTGGCTTTCCAGAGAGTCCTCTATGCCTGATGGGTCCCCTAAGCTTGCCTGAGAGTTCATGGCAAACCCAGAGGTTTTTAATGTGTTATGAGCATTCATAAACTTCTGGAGGTATTTGGAGGTGTACAGCCAGTGGTGTTTCAGAACATCTTCCATCTCATAGCATTTGGACTGCCTGGCATTCATTTTCCGGAAGCGCCTAAACAGTTTGTTACCAGACTCATTGCCCTCACTTGCCCATGCCCCGATGGAGCCATCCCTCTCAATAATTTCAGGAACATGTGCTAGGGTTTTGTGAAAATAATTGGTGATTTTCCCCTCATACCTATACTTGAACTTGGTAGAAAGGAGCTCAGCAAAACGCTGTGAATTGAAACTGTACTGGCAGAGGGATTCTGGGCACTCTTTAGCAGGGCATGATGACCGCCATACTGGTTTCATCTTCAGGTAAAGATCCATCAGCTCCCTCAGAGCCTCATGCCTCTCCTCGGAAGGAATTAACTCACAAACCGCATCCACAGTCTCTTTGGTCATGAGCTTCCTGGCAAAGTTGCCATTCATCCTCATGATTGGTTTAAGGTTCATCTTCTTCCGGAGATGCTTGTCCAATGTGGCCTGCCACCTTTTCCTTTCGTCTTTGGAAGCATTGGGATTCTTATACACCTCCCCTATCTCTAGCTGGAAGATCTTGTAGAACTCAGCTGCATTGCCAATGTCACAGTGGAGTGCGTCTATGGAAGGGACTGTCTCAATGAAAGGTTTGGCTGAGACCCCTTTCACCCGATCCCGCAGTTCTTCCACAGACTCATGGTAAGGGTTGGAACGCCAGACTTCATAACGTTCCAGGTTCTCGGCATGGCTTCTGGTTATAGAGTGGAAGACAAGATTTTGAGAGGCTTCTAGACGGGTGGCATCACAAAGAGTACAGATGTAGACTGAGCCAGAAGCCTCAAGGCCTTCCACTTCCCGCACAAGTTTTTCATCATATCCAGTGCCCCTGAAGATGAACTTGAAAGTCCGGAGAATGCCTCCCATCTCAAGCATTAATTCACTGCTCTTCATGGCCTCCCTCTCGGCAATGAGAGGACTCAGGATGGCAGTCAGGGTCTCGTGGTCAGACTCATCTGCCAGCATAAGGCACAATGGCTTGCAACACAGTTCAGAGTTTGGTTTGGCTTCTTCAAATACTTTCACGTTCTGAGAGTTGTGGGCTATAGTAATTTTCATGATTGTGAATGAAAAACGGACTGCCTTTTCCGGGACTACTGGCCCACTCCCATGCTTCTCACTCACATCTCCCATTCCGTCACAGGACTCCTTCACAACCACAGTGAAGGGGCCATTCAAGTAATCCTCAAGGTCTTGGGATCTCATGCCTTCCAAGATGTCTTCTTCCATGTCCATCAAAGCAGACACCAAAGCTGAATCGTAGCGAAATCTCTTTGCAATGGTGTCCACTGGGTAATCATCCACAGAGGACGATAGTCCAGACAGCCCATCGATAATGCCAACATCAGTGCGGGAAGACACATTCTTCAGAAGTGGCTGCCACTCAAAGTGGTGGTAGCCTGGCAGAAGGACCTTCTCAGCATTCCGAAGGGCATGCAAAGGCTGAAAAATCTGTCTCCCTGTAATGGCTTTCACGGTCCTGTACATCTTGTGGTATTGGCTGCAGCTGAGGAAGGTGTTGACACGGATGGCCAAGCAAACAGCTGGCTGCAGGCCAGAGCCCCGTCCCTGCATGATGGCCTCCAGCTCATCCGCTTGCCTGTGTTCATTCCTTGCCCTCAGAGCCAGCAGGAATAAGGTCATGCACACGGACTTCACATCTCCACCCTCTTCTTTGTCAGCAAAGGCTTTGACTTGCAGCTTGAGCTCCCTTAGCCGGTGCTTCTGGGCTCTCCGCGTCAGCGACAGAAGATGTTGGCGGGGCCGGCCCCCTTTATTGATGTGCACAAAAGTCTCTTTTGATTCCTTGTGACTTGAGATGTGGTGGTTATATTTTTCTAAACTGACCACCTCATTGCACTCTTTTGCTGGACATCTCACCATCAGGGAATTCAAAATGCTCAGAAAGGACTTCACTGGACTCTCCAGGTCAGTAGGGAAACATGGATATCGGCAAGAGGGACAATAGCTGCCCATGACTTTGAGGCATCTGATAATGCAGACCCTGCAAAAGACATGCTTACAGCTGGTCTCCACAGGGTCAGCCAGAATGTGTTCACAGATCTGGCAGGAGATGGATTTCACAAAGTGCTCCGGGAAGTCCACTGCAAGGAGCTTGGTACTAAGATGTATCTTACTGCAGTTGGCAGTCTTCTTCATAATATCCTTGCTGCTGATCCTTGCCTGAGCTCTTCTCTTGCGCTGACGGGCTTGTCTTGCTTGGTTAAGCACAGTTTTGAGTTTTTTGCTGAGCTGCAAGTTTGGCTGAAGACTCTTCCTCTTGAGTCCCTGACGGGCAGTGTTGCAGATATCACAGGATGGTGTGTGGGGGTGCCACTCCATGGTCGCTTTCCTAGGGAAGTAAACCTCACCCAGGGCACTGCTGAACTTCTTGTGCATGACGCTCCAACAGTTATGGCAGAACTCAGTGGGGTGGATCGAGTCAACATCTGTCTTCACATTGATCCGGAAAACCTTGGCAATGAGGTCTGGCCAGGAAGTAGCTCTCTTTTCCTTCTTTCTTAAAAGGCCTAGGGTTTTACCATCCACCGGCCCATGGACTGGGTATCTTCTGTTGTGCTCATCAGTTTTAAAAGAATTCCCACAGATACGGCAGAGATGTCGAAGGTTGGCTTGGTGGATTGCTTTGCCTCTTGCTTTCCCATCATCGTGAAATTTCTTAGAAAACTTAGGGTGGGCTTTTAACATTGGCTGAGTTTGGACTGGCTTCTGACCATCAGCCTTGTCCAGGACTGCTGGAGATTGCTCTAGAGAGGATTTCCCCTCAAAGGAATCCTTCTTTTCCTTTTGAGCTTCTTCAGGTGTCTTTTCAAAGGATCTTACCCGGAATAACTTAAATTTCCATTCTGAAAATTTAATATGTGGATGCTGAATTTCATCTGGGGCAGAACTGAGTCCCAAGGTAGGTGGGAAAGAGGCCGCCATGCTGGCTGAGATACCTGAGAACAATGAAAATATAAGTCTTATTAAGATCAACATCAATATCCCACTGATATATCTTATAAATAATAAAAATGAATACATTCAATTATTTATTCATTTTTTCCAAAAGATATGTATTAAATCTTCCATTTTAATATATCATGTTAGGTGCTGATCATAGAGTTATTTCCTGTTCTGACAGTGTTTATGGTTACTTACACCTGTTATACAAATATAAATCTTTAAATACATACATGTAAAGTTTTATCTCCTTCCACAAAATCCTTAAAGTCTTTGAGGAGAGAATCTTTGATTCATCTTTGTCTCCCCAGGGTCCTAGTATACATTAGGTGCTCAATAGTTATTTGCTTAGCAAATGTAAAGATAAACTGGCTACTAAAACCAAAGAAAAGTAATATTTTCCACATTGCATTAGCCTCATTGCACTAGCTGGACGATATATTTCCAGCTTTTTAAAGCAGTCTTCCGGGAGCTTGGTTGTTTATTTCTTCCAAATAGGTCATAAAAGGATGATAAAGCTGCAAACCCGAAAAACTAATTATTCACTACTTGAAAGGGTGAAGTGAATTTTGAGCTTTATGAATGCAAACTAATAATAAGTATCATGGATAGTAATTATGCTTACAATTTTAATTAGTGAATGCTATTGTAAATTATAAGGCTGTGTCTACATTAGAAACAAAAACCACAGAGCTCTAAACTTGCAACATACCAGAGTGTACATATAGTGTGATTCTGAGGGACATTTAAGATGAAAAATTCACATAGTTTCAGATAAAACTCACACAGGTCATCCTGAAAGTCATTGTTGGTCGATGGTCAGTAGCACTATAGTTTGTAACATCATAAGAAGAGGTGGGAGTAGTGTTTCTCTTCTAGTAAAAAATATTGGCAATTACACATGCCAGGAAACCCTACTGATTTGAATTGTAGTGCACAGATGACTAGCGATGCAGAAAAAGTCTAACAATGCCATGTGAAGTGTACTCTCTAGACCCAATTAGACCAATCTTTCTCAAAGTACTTAGTACATATTGGAAAAAGAGCAACTGTATTTTCAATCCATCATCCATGCACCTATCTCAAATTTGCCTGGGTTAACTATTTTGACCCACCAGTTATGTCAAGTAACATGTTTTTTCTCTCAATTAATTAACAAAACTGATGAGAATTTTTATAGTCACATAGTTATGGAGACGAATTCTGAGACGAACAAACCTTGAGCAGGGTGGGATCAGGGGATACAGAGGGGCAAGGGCTAATTCTGATAGCTGCTACCAAAGTCTCTTTTCAAGTCTCTGCTTTCGTAAAGTTTGTTCCATCTTACATGCAGTTTGCATCAGAAATGGGTGTTTTTGGCTGGGTGCGATGGCTCACGTCTGTAATCCCAAAACTTTGGGAGGCCAAGGTGGGTTGATGGCTTGTCAGGAGTTCGAGACCAGCCTGACCAACATGGTGAAACCCCATCTCTACTAAAAATACAAAAGAATATTAGCCAGGAATGGTGGTGGGCACCTGCAATCCCAGCTACTTAGGAGGCTGAGACAAGAGAATTGCCTGAATCAGGGAGGTGGAAGTTGCAGTGAGCCAAGATAGCTCCACTGCACTCCAGTCTGGATGACAAAGTTGAGACTCCATCTCAAAAAAAAAAAAAAAAAAAAAAAAAAAAAAAAAAAAGATGTTTTTCACAAAAATTAAAAGCCAATTTCTAAGACTTTATTAAAAGATAAATCCTATTAGGTTGTTCCCTATCCAGGACTATGCAAGAGTTAAAGAACACACAGACATTTCAAATGTCTCATTAACCTCAAAACATATTTCAACTGCAGCCCAACAAACACCTCAAAATTGCTTATAGTTCAATTCTGTTTCCTCATTCTCTTCTGTGACAGGTGCTAGGTCTTTCCCTGTGGCTCCCCTGACTCTCGGCTTGAACTCAACCCTGAATGCCTTCTCATTCCTTTAGCATTTTACTTCCTAGCCTATTATGAAAGCACTTGCTCTCTGGTGTTCTAAGATCATATTTTGAGTAATTCTTTTAAAAATGCATGACCATCTCTAGAGCTCATTGAGTTTAATACTGACCTTTCATGTTGAGTAAGTTAATCATAAGGCATGTTGGTAGGATCTCTAAAACTATCTCACCTCCCTACGCATTTCTCCCCTGACACCCCCCTGGCCTGAATTACTGTGACAAAATCTACCAAACTACATTTGTTTAAATACTCCTGTGGAAGGCAACCAAACCAAAAATGGACAAATGGGATTGCATCAACTTAAAAAGTTCCTGCACAGCAAAGTAAACCATCCACAAAGTGAAGACATTATCCACATACTGGGAGGAAATATCCATCTCACCAGAGATTAATAACCAAGATATACAAGGAGCTCAAACAACTCTGCAGGAAACAATCTAATAATCCAATTTTAAAATGGGCAAAACATCTGAATAGACAATTCTCAAAAGAAGACATATAAATGGCAAACAGGTATATAAAAAGGTGCTCAACATCACTGATCATCAGAGAAATGCAAATCAAAACTACAATGAGGTATCATTTCACCCCAGTTAAAATAGATTTTATCCAAATGACAAACAATAATGAATGCTGACAAGGAAGTGGAGAAAAGGGAACCTTCATACACAGTTGGTAGGAATGTAAATTAATACAGCCACTGTGGAGAATAGTACGGAGATCCTCAAACAAACTAAAGATAGAATTATTATATGATCCAGCAGTCCTACTACTGGATATTTATCCAAAGGAAATCACATCAGTATAGTCAGAGACATCTACACTCCTGTGTTCATTGCTGTATTATTTTTTATCCTCACCTGTGATTTTTACTCCCTAAAATAGACATATATTACTTTTGGTAGAAGATAAAACTTTTAAGAACCAGATTTAATTAGATATTTTTTTTATCTATTCAATCAGCAAAGATTAAAACTATTTATATGATTCAGCATTAATGAAGACATGAAGAAATTAAGGTATCTTTATACATTCTTGGGAGGAGTATAAATTGGCAGAAAATGTCTACTACACAATTTAGCGATGTCTTTAAAACTTTTAAATATATTGTCTTTGGTGCAATAAATCTCCTTTTAGGAAGTTATCCAACAGAAACATTTCCACAGGAATACAGTGATATTTATAAAAAGACAGAGAGACATTTGTTTAAAAGCTGTTTGTCACTTTGAAAAAACAGGAAACAATATAAATAATTACCCAAAGGGCATTATTAAATAAGCTATGGTCCAGACATACAGTGGAAAACCATGCAGAAAATTTAATTTTCTGTATGCCTTGATACATATGTACGATTTCTGTATGCATCAGTGACATGGAAATATGCCCACGTGAAAAAGCAGAGAACAGAACGATGATAGCAAGTATAGTAAAATTCTGTTTACGTATATATGTTTGTATTTGTACATACATGAAGTTATAGAAATTCTGAAAGAATGTGCACTAAAATCTTACAAGTGTTTAATTTCTGAAAAAATAGAATTGGTATTAATAAGAAGGCCTCTTATCCTTTTTATTTTTTTCATTTTTGTATCATTTGAATTGTTCAAAACAAGCACGTACTATTTTTATTAATTCTGTGATAGATTTACATTTGATAAAACAGTTTTAAAGACTAGATTTATAGGTGCTCATAGTCACTTTTCCATATTTTCTTTGAAATTTCCCCTAGAAAAGCTTAAGATCTGGCTGAGTGTCGAATCTGGCCACCACCCTTAGCTTTTCTTTCTTTTCTGTTAACCATGTAGAAAGCAGGTGAAAATATGGATCTGTAGACAGCATAAAGTTAGGATTGTGAAAGGGTTGTCTTGGACTCATATTTTGACACTCAGAAACTTTACAATGCTTGATCTCCTCTCTTCTAACAAAAGATCTCAGCAGTAGACCAGCCTCAGGATCTCAAAGGCTGAGTGGTTGGTGCTGGCTCAGCCCTGTCCCCACTGGGCACTGCCATCTCAGCATTGCCATATGACATCATAGCTGCAGGGGTGCCTCCCTCCGCACGACACGGATCCATTTTGACAAACTAGTTTGAGGTGACCTGGACAGCACAGGAGCAGTAGTTTCTGGTGAGTGATATAATTAGTTCAGGAGGCCAGGCACAGCAGCAGCAGCAGCCCCCCAATTCCCATCCCAGCTGCCCACCCTACACACATGTACACCTCATTACTTGGCCCACAATCTTCCCTCCTAACATCTTCAACTTGGTCTGTACACAATTTCCAAGTGATCACTGTGTGCTCAAGTTTGACCGCTTATCACACCTGTCCCACTTATTCATTCACTCCACAAACACTATTGTCTGTTTTTTGCCAAACATCATGCATCAAAAACCTGACAATATTAAAAGCCTTTTTATATAAGTCTCAGGTATCCACAAAATAACACCACAATTCTTGCTTTTCCTTCAGACAATTTCTTGCATGAACCACTTCAGAAAGAGAAATACATCATCACAACTCCTGGCCAGGAATCCTGATTCAAGAACATAGCCCCAAAGCGGGGTCTCTACCATGGCAATTCTTGAAATTAATACAAATCAGAATCATGAGCAAGCTTGGTTTTAAAAAGAAATGCAGATCATCAGGTCCCAGAGAGTCTGCTGTTTGGGATGGAATCCAGAAATTGCATTTTTAAACACTCAGTGATTCAAAAATGAGTGGATATTTTGAGAAACACTGGTCTCCTACTTAAGCAATCCAATTCAGGAAATGCCTGACAATACTTGTTAACACCTGGGAAACCACATATTTCCTCCCACCCTAGAACTAATTTGTTCCTGATTATTTTTCTTGCCTGAACTAACAGTATTTATTTCCAAGAGTCTCACACCTTTCCTTCTGCTGATTTGTACATGTTCATTCAGAAAGCACTCCTTAAACCCTGTCTCTGACAATAGCATTCATTTACAGTAATTCAGATATTTTGCATCTTTCTATGAGCCTTCAG